GGTGACAGCGTGACATCCCAACTCAAAAAAAAAAAAAAAGAAAGAAAGAAAAAGAAAAAACAAAGAACCTTGAATACTAATAATCATTTTAGCATTTTTAGGTAACTAAACCAAGCAACACTGGAAAAGATGCTACAAATCTGATATAAATCCACCACAAAGTTGATCTTGCAGACTGGTACAAAGCACACCAGACTCTAGGAGTCAGGAGATCTGGGTTAGGAGACCCACCTCGCTCATTAGCTCAAGCTGGTTAAGTGCTCTGACCCAGTTTCCACTGCCGTAAAAGGAGAGCACAAGACCAGCTCAAAGGCTTCCTTCCAGCTTCAGTATTCTGTGGAGACTGAACTGAATTTATCAGGTCAGTCAGCAGAAGAGTCCTCCCACTCAGCATAAAGTATACTCTCCCTTACCAAGATACTTGTCTGGCAAGGATTCCTGAAAGGATGACATTCCCCTACCAATCATCCCACCCCCAACAAAGACCAGGGCTTGTGGCAGTTGGGAACTTTAGAGAGGGATGATTTTTAAAATATTAATGTTGGGGATTTTGCTTGAGCACAAGGTTAAACTAAATCCTTGGGGATGGTCATGTCTCTGTCAGTGCCTATGCTTCAAGTTGGCGTTAAGTAGACAGTTGGGAGACTACAGAACACGTGGAGGGCAAGATACTCTACTCCTTTCATGTTATTTCTCCCTAGTTACCAGAAGGAATAGTAAGACTTTCCCTCTACATCTCGGAAACTGCTACTGGCAGCAATCTTAGTCTTGAATCTCTGAACATGCTGTAAGCAAAACTGAAAAAGTGCTATGTTTAATTAATCTCAGTTCCTAGAACGGGAGAGTTGTGTTACCAGGCTCATTCCACTTTACACAACTCTTCTCAGACTCCACCATGAGCAGCCAAAGATTCTGAATCCTGAGCTGTGCTGTGGCTGAGGGAACTGTGAGGCTATGTGCTGCTTGCTCCTAACAATTGCTCCCTATGAACTCCAATGATGTTTCCTAAAGTCGCTCCAAAGCAGAAGTCAAAGGAACCAGTATGGACCTTAGAAACAAGAGAGAATAAAGAGAAAAACAAGAAAAATCTACCAAACTAGGACTAAGTTTTTCAAAAGTTTTTTGTTAAATCATTAATTTTACATTAGACATTGACTGCACATACAACAAAAGTCTAGTATTAGGCCGGGTGCAGTAGCTCACAGCGATAATCCCAGCACTTTGCAAGGTGGAGGCAAGAAAATTGCCTGAGCCCAGGGGTTGGAGACCAGCCTGGGTAACTTGGCGAGACCATACCTTTATAATTAAAAAAAAAAAAAAAATTAGCTGAGTATGGCAGCACATGCCTGTGGTTCCAGCTACTTGGAAGGCTGAGGTAGAAGGATCGCCTGAGCCCAGGAGGTTGAGGCTGCAGTGGCTGTGAGCGTGCCGCTGCATTGTCCAGCCTAGGCAACGGAGTGAGACTGGCTCAAAAAAAAAAAAAGCAGCTGGGCTCGGTGGCTAAGCCTGTAATCCCGCGCATTGGGAGGCTGAGGTGAGTGGATTGCCTGAGCCCGCGGGTTCGAGACCTGCCTGGGCAACTTGGTGAGACCTCATCTCTACAATAAATCAAAAATTAGCTGGGTGTGGTAGCGCGCGCCTGTAGTTCTAGCTACTTGGCAGCCTGAGGCGGAAGGATCGCCGAGCCCAGCAGGTCGAGGCTGCGGTGGCTGGGAGCGGCCATTGCACTCCAGTCTGGGTGACAGAGTGAGACTCCAACTCAAAAAACAAAACAAAACAAAACAAAAACAAAGCTAGTATTTACTGGAATCAGGATTTTAACCAGTATTGAATGCCAAACTTTTCCTCTTCTTCCAAGAACACTGAGCTTAGAGTTCAAAGATTTGGAGAAAAATCCTAGCTCTGTCACTTGTCACTAGCTATATGGCCAAGGCAAAGCATAACTTCTCGTCTTTGACAGTAAAATGAGAATACCATTCTCATCAGTAATGTATATTACGTGTCTTGTGAACCACAAACCACCAGAATGGTGGTTCTAACCTTGTTCAGGTAGCGAAATAATGGAAAAATATGGTTCACCTCAGAATTCTGTAAAATACATAGTATACTAAACCTGAAATAAACATTTCAAACTACATGCAATGTAGTAAACTAGATTCTACTCTACAAAAGTAGAATGGAAAGGTTTTTTTTTTAAGTAATGAGAATAAACTTTAAAACTTTAAACAATTTTAGTGATAATGGTCTAGCATTAGGATACCAACAATCCATAAGAGCAGAGTTCAAAAAACAACATGCTGTGTCTGTTACCATACAAATGTACACAAGGTTGTAGTAATATTTGTCACTAAGACTTTCAATAAAGTCTTAACTCAGTGAACTGGCAGTCTTTTATACAATCAATCCCCATTATTCCAATACTTTCATTATGACGGAAATACAGTAGGGGGCAGCCTCCTCAGGGTCGATGTCAGTGAAGACAACTTTTGGATGTCATTTGACAAAATATCACTGAGTATGAGCAAAAACTAAGCTGCTATAACAAGAAACTAAACAGTAATATGGTTTAAAAAGCAAAGACATTTATTTTGCTCTCCCATAAGAGATCAATATTCCATGTGGTCATGCAGGGATCCAGTCTCCTTCTATCTTTTGGCTCTGCAAAAAAATCAAGGCTGCATTGCTATTGCTACTACTTTTGGGAAGGGCATGAAGGAGGAACATATACTGTCCTCAAGGTCCTAGACTAGAATTAGCAGAATTTCCATTCTAATTCTGTAGGAGAGAACTTAGTCACTTGGTCACACCTAAAACTAAAAGGAAAACATAGCAAATTCTGTCCTAGTTAGACATCCATGTGATTCAATAACAACTCTAACACCATGGTAAAATAGGAGAATGGATTCTGGTGACCACCTTAGTTACTGGTCATCTCCCATCCCTTGTTTTTTACTGAATTGGGTACCACCAGAGCTTTATGCTGGCAGGAGATGATAAATGCACTGTCCATAACCCACAAGCATTGACCTGGCAAGCAGAGTGTGACGACTACTCTCAGGAGCTCTGGGTGCCAGCCTGAGCAGTGCTACAGCTATAAAGCCATCTGGGTTGCTGGCTGCCTGCAACACTGAATGCTTTGCAGAATGAATACTTTGGCAATGACCAGATCACCACCTCCAAAGTTATCGCCAAAGAACTGTCAGAGCCTTCTTGGAGCTTGGGATCCATTACAGGAAACTCTGAACTGAAGCTGAAGCCAGTATATATTTTGGCAGTGTAGTGGAGTTTTTCCTTAGGGGATCTGGCTTCCTTTTCCTTCAAGAGGTTCTGGATCTGTGAACTGGCTGGAAAGTGGCCGAGGACTATGAGAAATCCACATTTTTGGCAAGAATACTACATAGGTAATGTTTCCAAATTTCATTCTGAAGTAGGAGAGAAGGTAAAGCTGTAAGCATTCAACATCCTTCACATTTTGCCCTCCACCTCTTTTCCCACATTTGTTCCTTATCATCTTCTCCCGCCAGCCTCAATACACAGGACTATACCTTTCCCTAAACATTCCCCTTTCTTGGCCTTTTTTTTTTTTTGAGTCAGAGTCTCACTTTGTTGCCCAGGCTGGAGTGCAGAGGCACACTCACGGCCATACCCAGGCTCAACCTGCTGGGCTCTGGCGATCCTTCTGCCTCAGTCTTCCAAGTAGCTGAAACTACAGGCGCGTGCTACTGCACCTGGGTTTTTTTTTTTTAAATATATTGTAGAGACAAAGTCTCACCAAGTTGCCCAGGCTGGTCTCAAACCCCTGGGCTCAGGCAACACCCTTGCCTTGGCCTCCCAAAGTGCTGGGATTACAGGCTTGAGTCACCACACCTGGCCCTCTTGGACTTTTAATACTTCCCCTTCTCTGCCTGAATAAACCCTATTTCTCTAAGACCCAGAATCAAATACAATTTTCTTTGTGAGGCCACTTTTAAATTAACAAACATGAGTACCCACTATGTTCCGAATGATGCTAAGAACTGGGGTCACAAAAACAAGGTTCCTGCCCTCCAGGAGCTACAGTAAAGATATAGGATCTTAATCCTATGAGTCTTTGAAATTCAGACGCATAATTACACAAGTATGGAGTACTACTTTGTCAGGCACCACCTTTTTTTACTTAACTGCTTCTTAGACATCTAGACTTCCTAAGTCATCAAAGTTAACACAGTATTTCCCCCTTATCTGCAGAGGATATGTTACAAGACCACCAGTAAATGCCTGAAGGCATGGATAGTATCAAACCCTATGTATACTATGATTTTTTCTATACATACATACCTATGGTAAAGTTTAACTTATAAATTAGACGCAGTGAGAGATTAACAACTAATAAAAATAGCAATTACAATATGCTGTAATAAAAGTTATGTGAATGTAGTCTCTCTCAAAATTTCTTGTTATACTGTACTCAACTTTTTTGTGATGACATGAGGTAACAAAATGTCTGTGTGATGAAATTAAGTGAGATGAATGATGCAGAGTGACACAGCATTAGGCTACTGTTGACCTTCTGACAGTACATCAGAAGGAGGGTCATCTGCTTTGGGGGATCCCAGATCATTGAGCAAGCCAAGTAGATGTCAGGAGCAGGCAATGTAGATGACTAACAGGCAGGTACTCCAGTGTATACACTGGACACAAGGATAATTCACATGCCAGGTGGGACGAAGTGAGATGACATGACATTTCATCACACTAGTCAGAACAGCGGCAACTTAAAACATATAAGTTATTTCTGAAATTTTCCATCTAACATTTTTGAGCCACAGTTAACCACTGGTAACTGATACCATGGAAAGCAAAAGCACAGATAAGAAAGAACTGCTGCAGTTTCTCAAATTTTCTCTATCTTGCTGCTGAGTAGGTGAACTGAATAGTAAGAAGCAATCTTGCTGTACCGAATAATAAAGGCTATGTTATAGCAAAACGCTTTAAATCTGTTAAAATAAAAGACAATCTAATTATTTAAACATGGTTGCTTTATTTTGCACTTTCAAAATTCACAAAAAGCTTTACAATATCTGTGTTTCCCCTTGTTGATCATCAAGGCTTTATGGTAAGACAATGAAAATTTTATCACATCCACTGGGCGTACTCAAGAACAACAAATAATTTACAAACAAATCTCTTTAATCAAGAACATTTTGTAAAATACACACTCTGGTTCACATCTGAATTCATCTATCCTAAAATTAGACTTTAAAAGGCTTAAAAAAAAAATCCAAACAGATTTTAACACTGACAAGCCTGCCAGAATAATGCTGATGGCAAGCTATAAACAGCTCTAAATGTTGAATGTAGTTTGGGGTAAGAGGAGAAGAAGAAATTATCTGTTGAACCTACATTTAAATGCATCTGTCAGTAAGATTTCTCTAATTTAATGAATTTCAACAAAGTGAACAACTCCTTTGCCTTTGGTAGTTTCTCAAGTTTTATTTTTAAACTTGTGACATCTTGACTAAAGGAATAGAATCCTGGGACTAGAATATTTAAGATAAAGAAAAACATCGATGGAAAAAAGGAAAAGCAAGATCAGTACCTTCTTAGCCTGTCTAAAGTGGGTAAGAAAATCACTGCTCACATTAAGGAAGAATATCACCAGAGTTGGTATTTGTGATTTAGTTTGGCTTACATTTTAAAAACTTAGCTAAGTATAACATCTAAATGGCAAAAATAAAAATTTAAAGTGGTTTCATTTAGGAAATTCTTAAAAATAATTGCAATCCTCAATTAGTTTTTAAATTTGTAGAATGGTATAGTACATATTTTGAGGCACCGTTAAAGGATCTGTTAAAATTACACATACTGCTATTTCTACTTTTACTATTATTTTTATGTACTACGGTATAGATATTATCAGTAGAAGTCATTAAAAATAATGCCAGAATCCAAATGAGAGCAGAAACGGAAAGAGGATGGGAGGATAATGAAATTACGTAGTAATAACAAACATGATTTTTAAGGTTTCCTCACTAAGTAGTGCCACAAAATTGTATATTTTGGCTCAATGCCACTGGGCGGTTGGAAGTGACCAGGAAATAAGTGGACTATCCTAATCGTCCCAGATAGATTTTTAATTGGTCCATGGTTTGGACAGCTCACTCATGAAGGACTGTTATATAGACTGCTTGGTAAGGGGTAGCTATGCTTTGCTTACTGCCTACTCACTTTGCTTTTTTCAAGAATACTTTTCAAAGGCTGAGAACCTTAAAAAGGTAGCAGAACAAAAAGCTCATTAGACAAAGAAACTAACAAAGGAATAATCTGTAAATAGTGTAACAACAGATAATCACCTTCTTTCTTGAGTTGGAGAGTATGGGCCTACGAAAAAATAAAACCCCACTACTCCCACAAATTCAAAATTTTTCTCTTTTGATCACAAATTATTTTGAGAAATCTTAACTTTAAGATATCCCTCACCAATCATCTCAAATTGCCCTTTTATTAGTCTTATATAAAATATTGTTTAAGACTTACACAATAATGAGAGAGTTAGGAGTTTCAGGATAATTTTAATAGAAAACATTGAGTTCATTTACTTGGAAAAAGGACTTTATTCTGAGGTGACTTTCAGAGAATTAAGTGCTCTATTTTATCACTGAATGAGAATTATTCTCAAAGCAAATATTCCCTAAGATGCCAAAGTATTCAGTTTTTAGGATAATACACTTTAACATATTAAAAGTTACAAAGGCTAAGAAAAAGCAAGCAACAAGTCAATAATATCACAACTCAGAATTCTAACATTTTCACATGGTATCATTTGCTATTAAATGCAAAGAGACTACTAATGTAAAAAAAAAAAAGTGGAATGATCTCTAACTTGTCAAGTACTCTCCCATTCCTGTGACCAAATGATAACATACTGTGGAAGACTACAGACCATGAATAAGTACAGAAAGCTGTTCTCCAGGACTCTTTTTCTCAAAGTTTGAAAAATTAATTGACCCATCATTAAAGCAAAAAGTTGAGTATGAATTACTCTACATGTAGAAAAACAATTCTAATTAAAATATTTTAAGCAGACTATTTTGGATGTTAATTTGATATTGAAAGTATTGTCAACTATCATAAAGTATTTCTCTTCATCACAAAAATTCCATATATTAAGGATTTACACAATCCCAAGGGGAAAAATCTAGAAACTGTTTTTCTTTTTTCTTGCCTGAGCAAGTAACCTAAAAAGGTTCTCCAAAATCTTGAGTAGAAGTATCATACTCTGCAATGAAATGCTTGAGTTCTTCAACACACCGCTCACCTATTTCATGTAAATTCTGCCTCAAGGCAAACTGTATAGACTTTTCTAATGAAGGATCTTTTTCAATCAGCATTTTCACCACCATTCCGAAAGTTTCACAGTCTTGTCTATAAACCTAGAAAGAGGAAACATATTCTGGTTAGCTGAAAGTGAAAATAATTAGCCTAGCACCTAGTTGATCGGGTTGGCAAAACTGTGATGCTGACATCTAAAAGGGAGACGCAATATTACCGGTGAACCTCTCTTGTCCTTGCACTGTCACATTTGCCAAAGGTTATCCAACCCTCTATCTTTGAAGTTTGCTGACCATTTGAATGAGTAGAAAAACACTCACATACCACATTACTGAGTGCAAAAGTTTGGCATGGCATTTGTTGGTAAAAGGAAGTCTATTCAAAGAACATCAGACTAGAGATGAGAATAAGAACAAGTCTAGGTAAAGTGTATCAATGATTCTGTTCATTTACTTGTTTGTTAAAAAAAAAAATCCCTGAGCCCCTAACTTTAGATTCTTTGCTTAAATCATAACCAGATGACAAATTCAAAATTGTTTAGTACACAATTATAAGAATGCTGAAAGTATCTACTTAAGAAACTTTTCAAGTTATAAATGTTTAACCATAGTTAAAGTCAAAAAAGTAGGGTTAGGCTCAAACAACATACTACATATATACACATGCATGAATGTGTGTGTATACACATATACGGATAAATACACACACATATATAGGCATGTGTACATATTTTTCCAGTTCAATGTGTATATTTTACTATTTTATACCAATAAGTATATGTAATTTTTATCAGTGGCAATTAGATATTTCCTGTCCATAAATTGCTGTTTCCTTCACACCAAATGTAATTTATTTAATGTACAGTCGCAAAATGCATTTTAGATTTCTATATTATTTTTCATACTCAGTAATCCATGTATTTAAAGAAAGATTGTAGGTAAGTCTCCATAAAAATTAAGTGAAATACAAATTATCAGATACTTTTTAACTGTTAAATTAATTTTTATTTTTCTAATTTTTACATATCAAATTAACATTGTTTATTCTCCAAAATAGAATTTCGTTCATTTTGAAAAACTTTAGAAATAAGTTATTTGAAACATTGCTTGGCTTATGGTAGTTTTTATTCCTCAAATGGTCACTGTTAGTTGTAATGGCTGCTGCTGTATTTTTTATTTTTATTTTAGAGACAGGATCTGGCTCTATCACTAAGGCTGGTGTGATCACTGCAACTCCTAGGTTCAAGCAATCTTCCTGTCTCACCCTCCCAAGTAGCTGGAACTACAAGCTAATACACCCAGCTAATTTAAAGCATTTTTTTTTTTAGATATGGGGTCTCACTATGTCACCTAGGCTGATCTCGATCTCAAACTCCTGGCCTCAAGTGATTCACCTACCTCAGCCTCTCAATGTACTGGGATTATAGATGTAAGACATATAGGCTACCACTGAGCCTAGTCTGTATATTTAAATGTCTGTAGTACTTGTTTTGATCACTTAAAAATGCCTATTTAAAGAAGAATATCTAATTCTGACTCAGTTTTAGGTTGCTAAATTATACTAAATTCATTTCCTTGCTCTCAAAAACAATTCCAAGTCCTAAGAAAAAGTAAAGGATAAGTTCTTGAATGGCACAGAAATTAAAATATATAAAATCCTTAACTGCCTTCTCCAACACAGCAATAACACACACACAGTTTTCTAAATAGTAAGGAAACGTACTCATACTACCCATGAAGTTTAATTCAGTAATTTAAACCAACCATTTCTTCCAGTTTATCCTGAGGTTTACATGACCTAGAAGTGATAACAGTATTCTGAACAACCAACTTAGAAAACAGTACACTATTCACATATTACATATGATGTCAAGGCAATGGAGCACATTATGACTGGTCTAACACACAGTACCTAAATCAAGCCAATGCAGTGACCACGGGGAAAGTCAGAACCGTGATGTTTCACAGTCCTAGTGGAGGTAAATTCCTTCCCAAACCAGTCAGCCCACATAATAACAGCATTCTAACATCAAGCACAGGCCTCAGCAGACCACTTTTTGGGTGGCCTACATTTTACAGGCTTCTTTACAACAGATGCACTAGATGAGGATAATGTTACACTGTGAATTAACCTGCAAATTCTTTAATGTAAATCTGCTTTTTGCCTAAACTGTAACTCTTCACTTAGCATATTTATAGAACATAAATATGCTACAGATTTACATATGAAAAATAAAACCTATTAAAATGTTCACACATTTACTTAAACTGTAGACTACTGTAATTCTGGAGACAAGATACTACAAGCATTCAGGTTTGTGTTTTATTTTTAAATTCTAAGTCCCTCTTGTATTACTTGTTGGAAATAGACAAATTTTTGGATATTAGTTAACAAGAACAACCAGAACAGCTAAAAGCAACATAGTTCTCTACTAGGGGACAAATTTTCTAAAAAGACTGCTTAACATGTACCAGTTAGGCATCAAACAGGAAATAATTTGTTTTTTGTTAAAGGAAGACCTCACCCTCCAACATTTTATAAATACAATTCACAACTGTCAGAAACCTATTTCTGAAATCTATTCCACAGTAAACTCAATCCCAAAACAGGAAGGGTGGAGTTATCTGTAGGAGAGTTTGTTTGCTTATGTTCCCTAGCTGGAAATTCATTAATAATCTTCAGATTTGATATCTGCAGGCCACACAGGAAGATTTTGTTGCTGTTGTTTTTGTCATGCTAGGACTTCATCAAAAAGAGAAACAAGTATGGGTGGGGTTCACATAATCTGCATAGAAATGTAGTTATATTTGCCAGCACAATGAAAACACTATCCAAATGTGGTTTTATAAATTCCTTTATTATAGCTGCCTATGCTAATAGTTAAATTCTCACAAAGTGCTTCTAGGAATAAAGGAATATGATAAACATAAACAATCAAGGCTTTTTACTATTATGCCTTCAGATGACTGGAAGAAGAGTAACAGAACAAACTCAATAGCAAACTTGTTCTATCTAAAAATTGTTTCAAAATGACATAAAACTCCTCTCACAGATATCATTTTACTTCCTACATCTGTTGCCATAGAAAAAGAAACCAAAATTAAGGCAATATGAGTTATTAGGAGTATTTTCATTTTAGGCAAACCATCTTTAATGGTATGCATTATAATTCTGGAAGAGTTGTGATGTCTAAAACAGTAGCCGCTAGCCTCAAGGGGCTACTTAAATATAAATACATATGCATACATTTACCTTAACATTTAAAGTATACTTTATCTTCATATTAGGAGGTAATTGGTTAACTGCAGAAGTCTAACACACAGACATAGAAGGTTGGGGAAACAAATGAGAACATTATTTCCTCTATGGTTGATGCTTCACCATTTCATATAATTTCCTTTATCTGAACTCGTTTAGTTCAAATGCTATCTGTCCTGTTTCAGTAGGTTCACATCCTAGTGGGAGAGGTAAATCAGACAATTAAAACACACAGCACAACTGAGACATTTAGAAGTGTAAAGTGGTGGGAAGACAGAAAGAAGAGCAAGGTGGTTCTAAGAGCAGGCTTACTGAGTTCGAATCCTGACGCTACTATTGTGGAAGGAAAAAATAACACTCCCACCCCGCCTTCAAGATGTTCACTTCTGAATCCCCGTAACTTGTCAGTTACTTTACATGATATAAGAGACCTTGCAGATGTGATTATGTTAAAGATTTTGACACAGGGAGCTTACTCTGGATCATTTACATGGGTGCAATGTAATCATAAGAGTCCTTAAAAGATAAATGCAGGAGAGTCAAAATGAGAGGCAATATTACCACAGAAACAGAAGCTAAATGCTTTAAAGATGGAGCTTTAAAGAAGCAGGCAGTCTCTAGAAATTAAAATGCAAGGGAACAGATTCTCCCAGAGCCTCCAGGGACATGTATCACCAGAAGACACCTAGATTTGGGTCCAGTGAAATCTATTTTGAACTTTATATATTATTCTCAAGCTCACAAAGAATAGTATTAACCAAGTTAGACCACATTCCGGGCCATAAAACACATTTTTTTTTTGAGTTAGAGTCTCACTCTGTCACCCAGGCTGGAGTGCAGTGGCATACTCATGGCCACCCCAGCATTGACCTGCTGGGCTCTGGCAATCCTTCCATCTCAGCCTTCCAAGTAGCTGGAACTATATGAGTGTGCTATCACGCCCGGCTAATTTTTTGATTTATTGTAGAGACGTGGTCTCACCAAGTTTCCCGGGCTGGTCTCGAACCCACAGGCTCTGGCAATCCATTCGGCCTCCCAAAGTGCTGGGATTACAGGCTGAACCACAGAGCCTGGCCATAAAACACACTTTGAATTTAAAAGGATAGATATCATACAATATATGCTCTCAAACCACAATGGAATTAAATTACAAAATAACAACAGACCCCTCCCCTAGGTTGGGGTGGTTAATCTCCTCCCTCCCTCCCTTCCCCCCTCTTTCTCTCCCTGCCTTTAATTTACTTTCTAAGTAAATGATATTTTCCAAGCTACAAAAAAAAAAAAGAAAAGAAAAAAAATAACAACAGAAAACTAACTAGAAAACTAACTAGAATGTGTAGAGATTAGACAACACTTCAAATTAACACATGGGTCAAAGAAGTCTCAAGAGAAATTTAAAAACATTTTGAACTAAATGAACATGAAAACAAAACTCATCAAAACTTGTGGCGTGCAACAAAAGCGGTGCTTAGTGAAAACGGTATAGCATCAAATGCATGTATTAGAAAAGAAGATATAAAATTAATAACCTAAGCTAGGAAACTAGAAGCGCAAATGAAATCCAAAGCAGCAGAAGGAAAAATAAAAATTAGAGTAGAAAGAAAAAAAAAAAATTGAAAACAGGAAATTAATACAAGAGAATGAGAATAAGCAAAAGTTGGCTCTTTGAAAAGATCAATAAAATTGATAAACCTTTACCCAGATTAACCAAGCAAAAAAGGAAGAAGACACAAATTATAACTACTCTTATAATGTCCATAATCATGGACATTAAAAGGATAATATAGGAATATTTTGCACAACTCTATGCCTGCTAATTTGATAAATGAAATAAACCATTTCC